CCGGGCCCCTCTGCGGGCCTGGCCCTGCCCCTGCCGGGCTTTCTGCCTGGCCGAGGTCGCCGGGACGCCTGGGGGAACCAGAGCTGCGCAGGTCTCTCTCCTCAGCTCTGTTAACTTTTGTGAGGAAGCGAGTGTAAAAGGACGGTTGTGGGTGTTTTAGGAGCGTAGGACTGGAAAAATCCTCTTAAGTCATCCGGTCCAGGCGTGAAGCCCAAGTTGCATCTCACTTGCGCTTCTTGTAACCTTCTCAGGACTCAGCGGGACAATAAGCGCTTTCGCTCGCTGCCGGCCTGGCTGGTGTGCACGCGCAAAACCTCCCTCCCTTGGCCAGGACCTCCTCACTTCGAGCTTCAGCTTGTGTTAGGCCGTTTGTCCCTGTGGCAGCACTGCCTTTAACCTGAATGAATGGTTTGTTAAACGCTTTGCGCTAAACATCCTTTCCCTTGCGAGCACTAGGATGGGACCCGGTTGTAGAGTAAGATCCCCTCCTTACAGTCGCTGGCGATGCGGGCTTTTTTAGTGTCAGTTGAGATGTGGTTGTGTGCTTGAGAAACATCTTCGGGGCTGGCAGATATGGTGTGATCTACAGAGTAATGCTTTTCCATAGTGTGGTTAGGAGGCAGGATGGGAAAAGCTAAAGCACCTCAAATGGCTTTAGATGCTTTTTTAGGGAACGGAGTCAAGCCCTAGAGAATGCAGTGGGGGACCAAGAGAGCTGTTCTCGTTCCCACACCCACACCACCTCTTCAGCTATTTCTGAAGTTCTTCACCCTCTTGTTGGTCTCCCAGTTTGGAGACTACGGCCTCGATTTTTTCTTTACCTTTATCTCATTTACAGAGAGCAACCTTAATCAAACTATTAAGTTTTCTGTCCCTTCCTTCTTGAGTTATTATTTGAATAGATACAGTGGACAGGCCTGTTCAAAGCTAATCTTGGTGGTCTAATAAAATGGCCCGGTGCATCCCTATCTATGCAGGGAGTAATTTTCCTGATGCATACGTTCATGCATTTGTCTTTTTGATAGCTGCATTTCTTCAGTTTGTCATACTTTCTGTGTGATTGCCTTGTCTGTTTTTCAGATTGCTTCAGATATATAAGTTCTCAATACCTAACCGTAGTTCTTGTTCTGCATGACAGGATGTACTTAACAAGTAGGTACAATTTGAATAGGTGTAATTATGCTGCCATTATTTGTGTTTTTAGGGTTATTCTTTTTCCCCTTATGAATTCCACTTGTTTTTGTATTAATGGTTACCGAACCTCAATATTTAATTCAGAAAACACTGAAGGCAAAGCGTAAAAATAAAAGAAAAAATCTTCCAGCAGTTAAGTGTATGGAGATATTTAATAGCAAGTTGTCCCAGACCAGATCGTTAGGGATTAGTTTATGAACCTCCTTGTTCAGGAGCTCCCTTGCCAGTGCAACCCAATATTGCTTTCTTTTTCAGAACAGGTTCCTGTTTTCTGTTACCCATATTATCTCCAATCTCCTGCTTAACTAACCATTTCTCATGTGGCACTCTACTTACGCCTAGTGTACTGCATTTGGTTGTAAATGCATGTATTTAAATGCTTGTGGAGTGCCCTGTTTACCATCTTCATTTGGATAACTTACAGATAGATCTGTCTGCTGATGAGATGTCGTAAGTTATTGTGCTACCAGAACTTCCAGATTTTCATTGCAGGTGTCAGATTGTCTTATGCTTGACAAAGTTAGACTGCAGTCCTTGACATTCCTTCAGTTCTCTCTCTGTATGCTCTCCTTATCAGTACGGACAAATGTACGCTCTTTCCAGTGGTTTTAGGACCAGTAGGCAAAAGCACTGTCTTCGACTGAGCAGCGTTTCATGTCCTGTCACTAAAATCCAACCTTAACCTTTCCAGTCTCCAGAAAACTAAGGCCTTCAGTCCTCCGTGATTAGTCCTTGAATAAAAGATAGACTGTAATTAATGTTACAGCATTACCCAACTGGTCAAATAATTAATCTCACACTGTTTTTGAGCAATGTTTCCAGACTTTGGCATCAGCTGGATTATTCCTTTTATGCCTCTGCTGCTTTTATGCTTAGAAAGCTTTCCTGTTAGCATCTGAAGAGCTATTATTTTGTCATCCTCATCTTTCCTTATGCCCTACCTCTTCTCTGTTATTTGTAAATCCTAACTTACTGGCTGTCCAGGGAGGTGATGATCTGTGACTAATCTTCTTTCTTCATTTTATTCCCTTGCTGCTTTTAAATGTGTATAAAAACAGAACAAAGTGTGTATTTCTCCAGTTAACTAAACTGTGACAATTCTTTGTCATATTCATTTATTCATACACTGTATGCCTTTCCCTTTTTATTTCAGTTTCTGGATCCTGCCTGGTATGAAAATGTATATGTAATGCTTTGCATAGTAAAGTCCAATTTTGATGCAGCCTCTAAATGTAGCATAATTTTACCATTGTCCTTAGCTAGAATGCCAGTTTAGATTTTATGTCAATTCCTGTTTGTTTTCTTCTCTTACGTATATGACAACAAATTGTAATTACAACCTTTTATTTTCCAGATCATTTTGCTTTTTGTCCTTGCACCTGAAAAGTGACATGCATGTTTAGGTGACTACCTGCAGGAACATCAATCAAAATGCCTAATCTTGAACATCCAGCATATCCAGCAGCTACACTGCTTCACTTGGAAAGTTTGGTGCCTTGTCGTGAATCCCAAGTGTCCATGTTGCTGTCGATATTTGGAGAGGTCGTGCTTTCTATGTTATATATTTGAGTAGAACACAGATGTTGTGTTATTTCAGAGAGGAGAACAGAAACTAGGGAAATTTTTATGATGTCATTATGAACATACTTTGCCTGCCTCTTTATTTTTGTGTTACCTGCCTTTAACATCAGTGTTTGGCCAGTAGGCTCTGGTAGGTTTGAAGGTTGAAAACCGTTTTGCAGCCGGAAGGAACCAAGCAGACTTAAAGCTGTTTGTGCCTTGCTGGCTATGAAGAGTTGTTTCCTGATGATTCTGCCCTGTCTTTGCCGGAAATCCTTAGCTGGCTACGCGTAGTACTAGGCAGAGGCAGTTAGTCTGTCTTTTCCCTAGCTAAAGTTGTTGGGGTATTTTTCTGGTGCCATTTAGAAATTGTGTTCTTTACTTACCAGTCTGGTATCTGCATGCCCGATTGTAAATACATGAAGTTGGTGTGATTCTCAGTAGTTCTGTTGCTGGCCGTAAGCTTTTCTTTTTTTGAAATAGCTGGCTTGTTAATTGATTCTGTTACAGCTTGGCAAAGCTATGGTAAAAAGTGATGGAGGTTTTTATGTGCAAACTTAGAAACAGTTGTTACATCCCTGTACGTTCAATTAACAAAAGAGAAATTTATGTCTTGTTTCTGGCTCTGTGTTTACTCATAGGTAGTTATTGTGTAAATCTTAAATGCTACAATGTGATGTATTTATTACAAGTATAGTTGCAATAAGCCTTCTTTAAAAAAAAAATAAAATGCAAATACTTAATTCTCATTAAATATGCAGGACATCTTCATATTTCTCACCAGAGAGTGCTTTCATCTTGGATGAATTTAGTATCATTGTTTTTCAAAAGCAGTGCTTGCCAAACTTATTTTTACACTCATTTTTTAAATCGGTGTTAAAAGATTCTTAGAAATAACGAATGACACAAAAGTAAATGTACATTCAGAATGAAATAGAGGGAGAAGGTAACAAGTGGTTCAATCTGATCTTCTTATAATTTGAAGCTCTGTGTGTTGTTAAAAAATGACACAAAATGTACAGTATCAGTACCATTAACAGGTAGAGGTATTACATAAAATATTACTTTATTGGCGTAGAGCAAACTCTTTTTCCATCGGAGTTTCCACCAAACCATTTCTTTTCTACTTGATGCTAATGAAGAGAAAAGCAATTTGTAGTATTTGCCGAAGTTAGGATGATTTAAAGCCTACAAGCAAGCTTGTCCTTGCTAGGATATTGTTTCAGTTAATTAGTTTGAATTAAGAGCCCACTTTTTTCTTTTCTCCCTCTCTCTGTCTCAACATGAAAAGTTTATCCTCCTGTTGTAGAAGTTTCACTAGCAGCTTGATGTGATGCTTGATTATTGGGACTTATCCTCCTAGCATATTGATGCGATCAAGTTTTATGTTGTATCTTAATTGACATACTTTATACTTAATGCCTCAGTTTAAAAGATAGTGTTACTTTTGGAGGAAAACTTGATTGGTAAATTCTCTATCTGTTAAATAAAAAAAGTATTAAAACAGCAACATCTTTTTTTTTTCCATAGCGTCAGCAGTTTACTTTTCCATCCATCTTTATTTATGGACATACATCTAGTGGAAAGACCTATGTGATTCAAACTCTTCTAAACACATTACGGGTAAGAATGTTCATACTGGGTGGTGAATTTAGCATTTATTTGGAAGCAATAGGTAATAAAATATAACCCCTAAACTAGCTTCTCCTTTCTAAAAATAGTTTATTTGTTTCCCCTGCCATTTCTCCCTTCTCAGTTTAAAATCTGTTCCATTTGCTCTCTGATGAACACATCAAACTTTATTCGTACTAGTGCACTTTGTGTATTATTTCATACCACCCTTTAAAATTCAATATATAGCATAATAAATTTTCTAAAAAAGTTTAAAAAAAAAAAAAAGCTGCCAACTTTTATTCTGCTCTCTGAAAGGGAGTTAACGTGAAAGAGCCTCCAGTGACCAGAGAGTACTTGTATGATGATTCCAATTTGATCTAAGAGTCACTTACAGTATACCCTTTCTGAATCTTATAGTTCTCCTTTAAACTTCATTTACTGGTATATGAAAAAGTACCCAAGTAAGCTTTATGCATGTAATTCTGGTGATACTTAGAAGTCCCAGTATCATTCAGGGAACTCATTTGGCAACATTCTCTGCAGAATAAAAGACAGTCAACGCTCCAAGCTGTTCTTACCTAGTGATGGGTAGTGGCCAAGTGCAGGAGAAGCTGAGTGAGAAGACAAGAGTAACAGTGAGATGGCTTTGCAGTAGTGGAATTTTTTTTTTATTTATTTGAGTTAACAAACTGAATTATATTTACATTGGATGTGTATAATTTATTTAAATGTCAGCTTAAAAGCTTGAATGCTAGTTTGATCATTAAAAGTACTCAAACATACAAATTTTGCATGTTTGCTGAAATTTAAAGACAATTGAATTTATGCAATGATGAAATTCACTGACTGAATAGCAGGCAACTGTGATTCTTACTGATATGGTAGTTTCTTCTGCAGACTCAGGGAGAAAGTTGTCTTTATTTCAGTATATTTGCTTAGTTCCAGTCAGCTCCCTTGTAAAAGCAGCAGAATTTCTCTTGCTTTGAAGAAAGAAAAAATTCAGGAAGCCTAAAGTCTTGAAGCAATGTTGTCTAGAAACAGTTAATTTAATTCCAAAACAATAAATGATAATTCTTTTACTTAAATCAATTCCAAATGGAAAAAGTGTATTGATAAACCTTTTCTGTATTATATTTTCAGAACCTTTTTGATAATAATAATTTTATATGTTTTAATTTATTCTACGTCCTCAAGTACAGCTTGATGTTTAAAAAAAAGAAAAAAGGTTAAAAAAAAGGAGACAGGATGCCATTCACTGTTTTTTAGTGTAACAAAAGTAATTAGATTATTTTTTCAGAATTTTTGAGCTATCGAATGGCTTGAATAAACGTTTATCGATAGTGTTATAGCTACACGGTTACCAAAAAGCAAGCAAAATCAACTAATGGGAATCAACGATTTTTTAAGATAAGTAGAATACAAATGCAAAGCAAAGTCTACATCAAGGATTCCTGCTTTCTAATTAAAATCATCTTGATTTTAAATGAGATCATGACATGTAGGCACTTACAAAAGATAAATATATGTTCACATCTTTCAGACTAAGAACTTTAAAAAGAAAACCTAATTAAATGTTGTATTAAATGCATCAACCTTGAATTTAACTTTTAAATGTTAACTTATGAGAGGAGTATAGAGTGTATTGCAAGTTTCTTACTAGATTGCCAATAGTTTTGTAATCTAATTGGTATAAATTGTAACTGGTCAAACCTTAAAGTGACATATTTACTTTCAGTGACTTATTTGAATGTGGAAGGTGGTGAATATGTGGTGTTTCAATATATTTAGATGTCTAGCAAAGAAGCAAGCAAACATATGCAGCCTTACATGTTGGATATTAATAAAGATTTTTAACTTCCCGGTAGACCAACAGTTTATTTTGGAAACGTGCCATGTTCAAGTAATGAGTGTGTGTGTGTGTGTTTTGAAATATAATACAAAAACAGTTTAAGAGCAAGGCCAACTTAACTTTGTTTTACTACTGCTGCTACTGCTTTTCTTCATACTTTTTTTAGCTAAAAATTATATCCCTTTTACACTTAATGAGCTTTTCTGTATTAGTGTGGTTAAGAGGTCTGGTACTTGATGGGTTGTTTTTGGTTTTGTTTTTTTACCTGTTGTTTGTTTTGACATATCTGAAATTCAAATGGTGTATTTACTATGTGATGAAGAATGCCTTTACAGAAATTAACCCTTGATAGGACAGGAGAGATGCATTCTTCAGGTGTGTTTCTTTTCACTAAGCTCGGCATTGCCAGGCTTTTCCTGATGGGATGGATCTTGTTCTTCCAAGCCAGTGCTGTTGCTGCTTCTTCCTGTATGACCATCCCCTCTAGCACTGTGCATTCTTCTTCAGCTTTGCCAACTAACATAATACACTTCCTTCTTGATACCTGCTCTTAGAAGAGAGTTTAGGAATAAGAAAGAAGTAGGTCAAGCAGGACTGAGAAGGCAGATGCTCTTGAAACATGAAGTGAAAACTCCGGAGAGTTTCTTGTGCAATTCTGAGTTTTGGATCCTATGTTGCTAGCAACTGGAACTGCAGAACTCTTAAACACTTAGTGGAAAAGAGAATTCTTTTTAATGCTGTCCACTGGAAGATGAATTACATTCTTGATGATTAATACTGGAGTTATTACCAAAAGTAAGAACTTGGTGAGGAACAGGCTTATTTTACTTTCAGAAACCATTGGGAGAGAAACCTGCTCATTAAAAATCACGTGCAGTCTTATCTGTGAGGATCTGAACTATCTAGAAGTAGTGTGTTGTTGTGGTTGAATGTACACTTCTTAAAAAGAATAGTTGTCTTGAAGAAAGATGTAGAGAGGAACAGCCTTAAATCCATTTCAGTTCTGACAGAAGACTTTCAAGTCCTACATTCTTGCCCTTCTTTTTCAGTTAGCAAGTGGATGTATTCTTGCTAGTTTTACTCTTTGTTTTAATCTTGCCTGAAGCAGGGTTTAAATTCCTCCAAAGCTGAAGAGTGTCATCACAGAAATTTCCGTCTAAACCCATCAGTGCCTATGTTTTTGTTAGTTAAATACTTCAGGGACCTAAATCTAACAATAGGTGCCTGCCTCATGCCTAAACCACATTTGAATTCCTAAGCTTCCACGGTATGTTCTGGTAGCCCTGATGCTTTAGGCTTTTTCGGAGCACACTTACTGCAGATCTGCAGGACTAGGTTTTATGTAAAACACGGTGATCTTATTATCCCTTTCATTAAAAATCCTACAGAAGGAGAAAGGTGGAATGATAGTCGTGTTCCTCTTTCATGCACTAGCCTATGTTCGTAACACTGTGCAGCCCAGTTGTACAATATTCAGCACCTTATGGAGATGCAGCACTCTGTATAAGTGCTTTTGTAGACGTGGACCCCCTTTTTAAATAGCGTTCAAAATCAAAAGGATGCTTCTGAGTATTGTCGAGTGTAGTAGTGTAGTTATTTGAGCGTAGTATCCAGTGCCAACAGTTCCC